TACATAAAAAATACTTACGTTAAGTAGTTTCCGAGATAGTTTTTGGGTATTATTTAGAATTCAATGCACAGCTTCAACGTTTCTAGAGCGAGGTCCTTTTCACCACGTTTCTTGTTACTTTTCCTCTATTAATATCCTTTGACTCCTTCTAGATAACCTCAAAATTAGTGATGAATCTAGATAATTGTACATCAGTTTCACTAAAAGAAATCAAATTTTGACTATGAAATATGTGTTATCTCTTAAATAATGTTAATACTAACATTTTAAACGATTTTAATAATGAAAACAACTTTAAACTATTGTCAAATTTTTAAGGTTATGTTTTTGTTTGTATTGAAAATTTAAAAGAATTGTGTATGCAACCCAAGTTACACATATTTAAAAATTACAAAAAAATTTATTTTTGGGTTTTTCTTACTTTTCTTAAATATAATAAATTATTTTATATGTATCGAATAAATCATACATTATTAAAACTTTAATTCATAACGGAAATTAAAACGAAATCAATTTACATTAAATAATTTCCAAGACAATTTTTGGTACTATTTAGAACTCAATATGCCCAGTTTCAACGTTTCTAGAGCAAGCTCCTCTTCACCACATTTCTTGTTGCTTTTCCTCTACCAATAACTTTTGGCTCTTTCTAGATAACCTCACAATTAGTGATGACTAATTGTTCATCCTTCATACAGTTTCCCTAGAAGAAATCAAATTTTTACTTTGATATACATGTTATCTCTTAAATAGTGTTAACACTAACACTTTAAACTATTTTAATAATAAAGACAAAGTTTAATATTTAAAAAAATGGTTCAAGTCCAAGGTCTATAGAACATAAGGTTACCCAATACCGATTCTCCTCCTCTGAGAGGCAAGGTGGGTCAGTGACGTAGCTGGTTCTATGAACAACACAACACCATGCGAGGTTTAAATATTTTATATAGACTGTACCACAATATAGGCACGTATAGGCTATCTTTTATTCTGACTGTATCGAACCAGTGACGTCAATTTGCGGGGTAATAATCGATACTACAGAGGCATAGGGAATGAGGTAACCTTATGTTCTATAAACCTTGGTTCAAGTCAAACTTTTAAGGTTATGTTTTTTGTTTGTATTGAAAATTTAAAAGAATTGTGTATGCAACCCAAGTTACAAATATTTAAAAATTACAAAAAACTTTATTTTTTGGTTTTTCTTACTTTTTTTAAATATAACAAATTAATGTATAACTACCGAATAAATCATACATTATTAAAACTTTAATTCATAACGGAAATTAAAACCAAATCAACTTTGAACTTCATTTGTCAATGCAACCAATTTAAATTTAATTTAAAATCAAAAATCACTGAATTTAAAGTTTCGATTTAAAAAATTTTTAAATTTAAAAATTACTAATAAATATTTGTATGTGTAATTAACTTACCATAACAAATTAAATGGATTAAATTTTTCACCCAAGGACATCAAGGTTATTTCAAATCATTTCAATAAACTTGTTAACCTTTAATCATATTCACCATTTCTTACTCAATTTTATTTCAAATTTGACTCAGAAATTAACCCTCCATTGATTCTCATGGAACACTTTTCCAATATACTAATTAAAATCATTTCCTTCGATGGTTGTATTTAGGAGGTTTTCAAGAAGATCATCAAAATGAATCTGTTTCCATTTCACTTTATCTAAGTTTCCAGAACAAAGGATTTTTATATCTTTAGTTACTTCGAATTTTCCGTAATATTCCGAGACGAATTTCTTGGTTTTTGCATAAATTGATCCGGGGAATAAAAATCCTTCTTAAATAACTTGTCCAATGTAAACAGAGTTCGCTTCGGCGCATCTTTTGGGATTTCTCCTTTATAATTACGCCAATAAATATCCCAATCTTCGCTTTTTATTGATTTAATTAGGATTATTATTATGATTGTTGAGATTAAGCGATTTTTAGGTTAAAAACTAATTTGACATAAAGCGATGTGGCGCCATCTCTTTTCCAATGGACTAAGGTTAGTGATAAATTGTAAAAATATTAATTCTTATTTATTTACTTAAATTTATAATAAAAACAAGAAATTATAATACACATACACAGCTTTATGTTTGTTATTAATTAATTAAGTATTTGGGTGATCCTCATCTTGCGGGCTATAAACCCTGAATCCTTTGATTATACAGATTGTCTCGAAAACTAGCGGAGATAGAGAGACGATTAAATAGGGGAAGAATTGCAGTTTCATGAACTCAAATTAATAAGCTTTTTGTTTTTAGGATAATAAAGCAGTCTAACTGCCAAAAATTATCTTCTCACACAGAATGGGGGTGTTTAATTAGTTGCATACCTTAAAGGATTATTTTATTTTATGTAACGTGTGTTGCATAACTTCAAGGAATAAAACGCAATAATAAATTGATTTATTATATTAAAATTAATTTAATTTATAAACGAGTATTAATAAAGCGAAATTAATTAAATAAATTAAAAGATTTAAATGTTACACAAAAAAAATACTGATAATTTGTTAACAATTTCAATTCAATCACTTCCTCATTTCAGTGCGAAAATGGCACTTCTAAACTAATTCTTAACAAAAAAAAATAATGTTTATATACAAATCTATTTTCTAATTCTTATTCGCTAAATAAATCATGTCTTAAGGTAACAGTCTCGGATTGAATCTTCCCATATGAAGAATAATCCCCGTTGGGTTGTGTCGGACGAAGAAAAGAAATGGTCGATCAAATCTCAGTCTTGGGGCGTCCGGGAGACGAGCTTGTCGTGGTCTTAAAGGTAAAGGTAAAGTTAATAAATCAGGATCGTGTAGGGGGTCATCAAAAGATCTTTGATAATCGCGTGGTTCATCACCAAAACTTTTCTCTTCCATCGTAAACACAGATTCGGATAAATAATACCCGAGTTTTCTCGATCTCCTCGAAGGCCGACGCGAAGTTGCGGGATAAATCTCAGTGTGATGATCATCCCCAATCAAATTTTCCCCACAAGTCGCAAAAGTATTCAATTGCAAAACATCAGAAAGATGTAACTCGTGAGCTTGCCCATTCAACCCCCTTAAGTCAGCTTTATCAAAACTAAACAAATCTTTTAACCCCATTCTTTGAAACGCCACCGTTGAATTAATAATACTTTTATGCATAAACCTGGGGATTTGTAGTTCTAATCCAGGTCGTGGAATTAAACTCCTTAAAAGACGCCCCCATGAGCCTTTTTTAAAGGCTGTTTCTGAGAGTTGCTTTTCTAAGCGTAAAAGACCATCGCCTGGGGCTGCTATTCCTTGTTGACCGGGGATTACGAAGATTGTACTAATTGTTTGGTCGGGACCTCCGATTGCTGCTGCTGTTGCGTCTAATTGGGGGTCATAACCGGCTAAAAATCCTGAACGATAAACTGCGGCTGGGATTGGAACCAATTTCCTTTGGCGAATTGATGGTAAAACGACGAAGTGGAGTTCGCCATCTCTTCCTTCACTTGATGCTTGAGAACAATCAGTCTAAAATATTAAGAATTAAAAGATAGTGTAAGTGGGGTTATGGAGAAGGAGGAGACGTTTTCAATTTGATTTAGTTTGATATCAAACTAAACAAAAAGAACAACTTTTATTCTAAAAGCAATTTTGTAACATGCTCAGTTTCACTATTGAAAAAACAACGAATTCCTCAAACTTTCATATTTTCGTATTTTTCTCAATATCTATGCGTCTGTGAGCAAAAGTGCAAGAGAGCAATATTGTTAACCATAAAGTTTTGTACAACTTTTGTTCTAAAAGTTTTTTTGTAACATGCTGAGATTCCCCAGTGTTACCATCAAGAACTTGAAAAAACGAATTCGTGAAATTTTTATATTTTCGTATTTTTCTCAATATCCATGCGTCTGGGAGCAAAAGTGCCAGAGAGAAATATTGTTAATCATAAAATTTCGTACAACTTTTGTTCGAAAAGTTTCTTTGTAACATGCTTATATTCCCCAGTGTTACCATCAATAACTTGAAAAACAACGAATTCCTCAAATTTTCATATTTTCGTATTTTTCTCAATATCCATGCGTCTGGGAGCAAAAGTGCAAGAGAGCAATATTGTTAACCATAAAATTTTGTACAACTTTTGTTCGAAAAGTTTCTTTGTAACATGCTCAGATTCCCCAATGTTACCATCAATAACTTGAAAAAACAACGAATTCCTCAAATTTTCATATTTTCGTATTTTTCTCAATATCCATGCGTCTAGGACCAAAAATGCAAGACAGCAATATTGTTAATCATACAATTTCGTACAACTTTTGTTCTAAAAGTTTCTTTGTAACATGCTCAGATTCTCCTGTGTTACAATCAACTACTTGAAACAACAACGAATTCATCAAAATTTCATATTTTTCTCGATATCCATGCGTGTGAGAGCAAACCTGCAAGAGAGCAATATTGTTAACCATAAAATTTCGTACAACTTTTGTTCTAAAAGTATCTTTGTAACATGCTCAGATTCCCCAGTGTTACCATCANGAAACAACAACGAATTCATCAAAATTTCATATTTTTCTCGATATCCATGCGTGTGAGAGCAAACCTGCAAGAGAGCAATATTGTTAACCATAAAATTTCGTACAACTTTTGTTCTAAAAGTATCTTTGTAACATGCTCAGATTCCCCAGTGTTACCATCAACAACTTAAAAAACAACGAATTCCTCAAATTTTCATATTTTCGTACTTTTCTCAATATCCATGTATCTGGGAGCAAAAGTGCAAAAGAGCAATATTGTTAACCATAAAATTTTGTACAACTTTTGTTCTAAAAGTTTCTTTGTAACATGCTCGGATCCCCCAGTGTTACCATCAAGAACTTGAAAAAACGAATTCGTGAAATTTTTATATATTCGTATTTTTCTCAATATTCATGCGTCTGGGAGCAAAAGTGCAAGAGAGCAATATTGTTAACCATAAAATTTCGTACAACTTTTGTTCTAAAAGTATCTTTGTAACATGCTCAGATTCCCCAGTGTTACCATCA